GGTGCATTACAATAGTCTGGGCCTTGGCCGTGGCCTCATCTCCTGTCAGCTGTTGGCTCGCCTGTGCGAGGTCAAACTTGCCAAAAATCGTAGCCCCTGCTAAGGAAGCCAACACATGACTCACGACCAGGACTGGGTAGACATGGTCATGGAGGGCCTTATTCAACATACATTTATAGTCCACGCAGATGTGGACGTTGCCATTGGGCTGGGTCTCCCACGGTGCATAGGAGACCTGTTTGAGGACCCCTTGTTCCACTAAACGATCCAGCTCTGCATCTATTTTTGGATACAAAGCAAGCGGGGCGGGGCGGTACCGCATGCGGATGGGGGCAATTTGTGGGTTGAGTTGCAATGAAACAGGGGGCCCCTTGTAACAACCCAGAGCCCCATTAATGACCACAGGGAATTCCCCACAAACCTCAGCAAAGTCCTGTGGCGCACATTTATTCACCCCCCGACTGTGATGCCCAACAGCGCAAACCACGCCCACCCCAATAAACTAACCAAATTCCCCTCCACTACAATCAAGTCCAGGAAACCCTCAAAACCCTGGTACTTCACCCGGAAAGTCCCCACACCCCGTATTGGAATCGGGTTCCTCTGGAAGTCCACCAGGCTCAAAGGCAAAGGCTGCAGGTGGGGCCCGCCATTTGGACAAAGTCTGTTCAGTGTTTCCACAGATATGATAGAAGCCACTGACCCTGAGTCCACTTCCATTGGGCAGGGGAACCCCTCGATCGTGACCTGGACCTGGATCTTTGGGGCTGCGAGCAAGTTGTGGAGGCATAGTACCTGTAGTGAGGGCTGGCTGGTCAGGAGGTAGAGATCGTCCATGCCCTCAGTGGTCTCGTAGTGTGCGGAGGCCTGGTGGCGTGGTTGCGGCTGGGGTGGATGGTTCCGGTTGCCTTTTGATCTGCAGGTGAGGTGTCCTTGTTTTCCACATGTGTGGCAGTTGGTGTCACGGAACCGGCACGACTTTCACTCGTGCGCCTCTCCACAGCTGGTGCACGGGGAATGTCCAGCAGGCTTACCGGGGTGTCCGGAGGCTCCAGCGGATCCTGGCGGCTTCCGGCGGTGGACATCATCCTCGTCTGAGTTCTTGGGTGCTGAGTCAGGGAGCACAAGATGGGACGCTGCCGGTGGTCGGTCGCGGTGGGAGGCCTTGTGGGTGATGGCAAGTGGGAGGGTCTCATTGAGTTTGATGTTTGATGTGGTGATCATCTCTCGGCGGAGCTTCAAGTACCTGATTCTTCAGGCAAACTGGCTCAAGAGGTTCTCCTCTACCTTGGAGAAGTCGCAATCCATGGTGTGTTGGTGCAGCACGGCCATGAAGGCTGCAGCTGTCTCGCCGGGCTTCTGGATGCACCCCTGAAATGCCATCTGCTTGGCCAGTGTCATTGGCTTGGGCGTGAGGTACCTTGTCAGGGCTTCTATGATCTCCTCGTACGTGCACTCTAGGATAGCCCTTGGGGCCAGGAGGCTCTTCGCGAGCCAGATGGTGTTCACAAGAGCTGAGAAGGAGAGCCCTTCTTTTGCCCGCATCAGTTATCTCATGGAAGGCGAGGTGGCAGGTCAGCTGGTCTGTCTACGAATCCCAGAGCTCGGGATGAGTGGGGTTGAAAACCTCAAGGTGTCCTGGAGCGGAGGCCATGGCTCTAGCACGGAGCGGGGGAGTGGTGTTCAGTGATGCCAGGTGCGGTGCAGTGCTGCTCGGGAGTGGTGCGGGGCGTGGTGGCGTTTTCAGGAACGATGCTCGGTGCTGCGCTTGAAGGTGAGCCTGGCCTGCTCATCGGAATCCCATCCTCATCGCCACTGAAAAGTACTGGGTTCAACGCATGGAGGACTCAGACTACGACATGTGTTCAGACGCATTTATTGTACTTCATAACAAGACAAAGAAAATGGCCCTGCAAGGCCAACTATATACACTCCACCCAGCATACCTATGTTCCCATTGGAGGGTTTGAATTTCCCACCAAGGGTGCTATTGGTGGACTCAAGGTGGACTAGGATCCTAGGTCCCCTTTGTGTTTGGGGACCAAGTTCCTGCTTTAGCTGCGGACCCCTGGTGGTGGTCCATGTACATAACAGGAAGGTAGTGACAGAATAGGCTGGAGCTTCTTCCTGTCGTCACCACAGCTTAAGTCCAGAACAAGCTCCAGAAGCAATGTCTCTGGAGCTTGCACCTCACATGAGCAGCAAGTAGGAATCCCAGCCCCTCAGTCTGAGTGGGGATCCCCTGATTTATAGTGGGATTCCCCACCTGTTTGCCCCAAAATGATGTTTTTGGGCCATTTCCTGGAAGTGGCCTGAAAAACCAGAACACGCCCCCCCAATGCAGCCATTCTCCCTAGGGAAGTGAAAGGGACCGCTCAAATGGCTGTCAGCCATTTCAAGGCCAGTTTTGCTCCTCCCACTTCTAAGGGGTGTGTGTGAAACTGATTTTACTGGAAGTGTCCCAAAATGTCTTTGGGAATGGGACATCCCTGCCCACCCCCTGGATCGCCCCCCAAAGGCCCCCGCTGGTAAGGTAAGGGGACCTGGCAACCCAAGAAGCGGGATGTCTCTTCTCATCCTTGCCCTTTGCAATCCTTTAAAGGGGCTCTGGACCCAAGGAGCAGTGACATGGACAGGAGCATACTCCTTTCCCTCAGTGTTCCCTGCACATAGGGGTCCTAGTCCCAAGCAGTGACACTGCAAAAATAGGGGGAGGCTCCTGATCTCTTGTTCTTGCCATCACCACCACTTAGGTCTAAAACAGGCCAGAGATCAAAACTCGGAATTAAACAAACAAACAGACTTCTGTTGCTAGTAAGTCACAACATAAATGCCTGTGTATGAATTGTCCAGAGGGCATCCACATTATGTGCCTTAAATATGCATATTTGCCACAAATCCTTGACTTTTCCAAACTGTCCCCCTTCTGCCCAATAAACTGCTTCCCCTTGCTTTTCTTTATTGTACTACCAGGAATAAGTCCCATTGTAGAAATAAATACAACGAGCTCTAGAAAGAGGCTCTGGGAGAGTGCCCCGGCCTTGGGCACTCAGTGCCAGTTTGCTGTGGCAACTGCAGCAGGGTATAATGACACAGAGTCCACCATTTTCTCCAGGGGAACTGATCTCTGCCATCTGAAGAGCAGTTGTAATTCTGTGTGATCTCCATCTTCTGTTATCTTTAGCTTTCCATCTCCTCCCCATCCCTCCTAGAGAGCAGTTGTAATTCTGAGTGATCTCCAGCCCCCACCTGGAGATTGGCAACAGTGGTTCCCCATGAGGGAGTGGCTGGTTTGGAGGGGGGAGTCTGTGCCTTTGCACCTGTCTGAGGTCCCACCCCCTCCCCAAACCTCACCCTCTCCAGGCTCCATCCTTCAAATATCCAGGAATCTCCCAGCTGGAGTTGGCAACCTTCAGGATGGGCCCCAAGGAGTGTTCTCCCAAAGGCCAAAATAGGTGTGAAAGGGGCCCTTTTACTGACAGAACCTGGTTTCCTAGCAAGAGGCACTGAGGAGAAAGCACAGTTGCCACCTCTGATTAGGGAAATACCTGAAGATTTGGGGGGTGGATCCTATGGAGGGCAGCATTGGGGGGCATGGAAGGACTCAGCAGGGGATAATGCTATAGGGTCTACCCTTCAAAGCAGCCATTTTCTCCAGGGGAACTGATCTCTATCTTCTGGAGATCAATTGTAACAGCGGGCACTCTCCATGTCTCACCTGGAGATTGGCAACCCTAGGGGGAAGTCAGCCGCACAGCCGGGGGTTGAAGAGAATGGTTTGATGGTCACTGGCCCACCTCATTAGCCAGCCAGCCATGGTGGAGGCAAAAAGGAGAGAGAGCCGTTTTAAGTTAATTCTGACAGGAAAGTGTTTTTTTACTGACAGAAGTTGGTTGCCTACCAACAGTCACTGAGGAGACAGTTAGTCACAGTTAGTCCCACAGAGGAGCCAAGAGAAGTGTCTTCCTCAAGAGAGAGTCTGGCTTTTCAGGAGCCACAGCTCATTTCCTCGAGGCCAGACCCTCCCTGGTGCTGCCGCTGCTGCTGAAGGAAGGCAGGGGAGCCTTTGAAAGGTGCTGGGCAGCCTTCTCTGCAGTGCAGCCCGCTGATCTATCACCCTGACAAAGTGCCGGCCTTACGGCCGAGGGAGAGACACCACAAGGGGCAGTGAAGGTGAGTGCTTCCACTGCTTGCTGCCACTCGCTAGGTCTGCCTCCTTCTCCCCTGTGGAGGGGTTGCTGCTCTCTCGGCAGAGCATCCATCCCCTTCGCTGGCTCCCTCCAGGCTGAGGGTAAAACGCTGCCTGCTGGTTCGGTGGGCGGGGCTGAGCCAACGCAGTGAGCCAATGCAGCCACACGATTGGGAGACTGTGAGAGTGGTAGCTGAGCGAGCAAAAGGCTGTGGAAGCTTGTCCAGGAGGGACACCAAAACTCTTTTATTATAAGGAGCAGAGGTCGATTCGGGGGGGATCGCGGGGGATCGCAGTTCCCCCGGGTGAGGTGCGGGGGGTGGGGCACACGATGAAGCCCCGCCCCTTCTTCCGGTCGCCCCCTTCTTCCAGCCTCATTCTGTTGCAGAAGGAGGAAGAAGCAGGAGGGTAAGTTGGCGTCCTCCCCCTCTGCCTGGCTGAGGCCACTCCACGTGGCCTCCACAAGGACTCCCAGCCCCATCCAGGAGCTTCCCTGAGGTAGCTGTGTTAGTCTGTTGCTGCAAAATAGTCCAAGAGTTCAAATAGCACCTTTAAGACTAACAAATAGCACCTTTAAGACTAACCTTTAAGACTAAGACTGAGTGGTGGGTGTGGCCTTATGACACACTTCCGGTGATGGCAGGGGGTGTGGCCTTATGACACACTTCCTGTGATGTCAGGGGGTGTGGCATATGCTAATGAGTTATGGTAATGAGTTCCCCTAGCTCTTTTTCTACGAAATGACCCCTGATAAGGAGAGATATTATTTTCCCTTGAACTGAAGTACTGTATCGTTTCTATTACTTTCTAGTACCTCCCAAGGACAAGCCTGCAAAGCAAGAAAAGCCTAAAAAGAAACCACCTCCTTCACCAAAAGGTACTTTTATTTACTGGATTCAGTGCAGTAGTGACCTTACCATGAAGTGGCCTATCTCAGGCAGCAGGTGATAGTTGCTACAGAAGGCATCCAAAATGCTAGCAAATGTGACCTGGTTGATCAGGAAGTACAACTTCTTGAAATTACCAGGAAGCTCTCTAAGAACATGCTAGTGCTGCTCCATTAATACCAATAAGGTTTGTGCAGAACTTTCCAGTGGATTGCATGCCATATTAATTAATAAGAGAGGTAGTTGCCATTTTGGGTGTTGGGTGCCAAATCCTGGGCTAGCCCTGTATTAATGTTTTAGCTCAGTGTGTGCGACACTTCTCCTAGTGCAGCACTGAGCAAGCAAACTACTCTATATGGAGTTTCCAGGTAATCATGTGGGTACCAAGTAAAACATGGTTGTTGTCCTTTTCTTCCAGAGATAAGTCTGTAACAAAGTCTTTTAACTGTGTATCAGTTTTCTATTTAGTGAGGATCAGGATATTTCTGAAATTGTTTACCATGCCTTGGTCTGTGACTTTCATAGCATCTAAAAATAGGCTTTTTTATTTACTGCACCAGCTTTTTCATTCCAATATATTATGTGCATTTCTCCCACTGACAGCTTTACTTTTATTCTGCAACAAGGCAAGTAAAGATGCCTAGATAAGACGTACATATCTTGCAATTACTACACACATTCTAGGGTGTGAGGAGCCAATCTGCTGTTCTTTTTATTGGTGTTCTATTTTTAAATATACTTTGGGACAAAGTAAAAAAAAGTGTCTATACATTTCTCATAAAACTCTTCACCACTGCTGTTATGGTTTTTTGGGGGGAGGGGGCTAAATGTTTGGGTTTTTTTACAAATGTTTTAAGTCTGGTCCCATGTGTTTACTTTTTTAATTTTTTGAAGCATTTATACATTACTTTTCCTGCTCCCAAATAAACACCGATAACAAAAAGAAGTCTTACACGCCTTTACCAAAAAGAGGCTTACAAAAAAAAAAAAAATCCCCTGACTTCACCATGGAGAGCATTCTATTAGGGCAACTATAGTGAACGTCTTGCCCCTAGAACCCATGTCCACTTTTTAAAGTGAAGAGGAGGGCTCGATTTGCTTAACATAGGTGGTACAAGGGTTTATATCTAGTGAGGTGGCCCCAAGGTGTGCTAGTTCCATGCCATGAAACACTTTTGTGTCCAGAAGTTATCAACTAGGTACCATAGCACTGGTTGAATATGCTTATGCCTTTCCTCATCATGAAGAAAACCACAGCATTTTAGACACTTCTACACCTTTTCTGTTATTGTCAAGGGCAGCTCCATATCCAGGATATCACTGTAGCCAATCCTGAAAGTTACAAAAACATGAATAATTTGGCAAGGTCCCCCTCTCCAATGCAAGGCATAGCCTATGTAACAAATGGATTTATTTATTTATTTATTTTCATATTTATATCCCGCCCTTTCCCGAAGGCTCAGGGCGGCTAACAGGCGCACCAAGTGCCAAGTAATGATAAAATATATCTCTACCACCACCACCACTACTATCTGTTCAGTTGTGAATGTTTTCATCCCTTCTGTTACAAATATACTAACCCTATCTGTGATCTGCGGATTCTGCATCAGCATCACTTCTATCTTTTCTGGACTCAGCCTTACCTTATATTAGTTCATCAAATTAACTAGAGCCTCCAGATATTGTTTTAGCAGAGAAACAGGATGTCTTGGATGCTTAATTAACGAAGTGTCAATGACATGACCCCGTAGCTCTGGATAATGTTTCTATGACGCCCTCATCCACTTCCCTCCCTCAGAGGTAAGATTTTCCCTTTGTTTCTCTTGGCCTTTCTGACTGAGCAGCCCTAGTGGTCTGTTTTCATCTTTCCTGAAGAATTCTGGCTGCCCCACCCTGCCTCAGTATGATATTTTACTGCTGGCTCAGCCCAGGAACCTGAGGGAAGGATTGGGATCATGCTTTAACTTAAACCACTAAAAATGGCACTTGAGATGTTTTGAAATTCAAAATTAACAAAATATTTTATTCAACATAGAGGGGGAAAGTCAGGTGAAATTTCAGACAAAAACTTTAGTTCTTATGTTTCAGGCTAATGAGACTTTCTTAAGCTATTTAAGTATTTGAAAAAGTGTGTGTGCACATGAAAGCTCATTCATTGAGTAAAACTTTGTTGTCACTAGACTCTAAATTTGTTCTTAAGCTATTTACAGTTACTTCAATCTTTATGTTGGGAGGCTTTTGTTCCAATGTTTCCCAAATACTCCAGTACACTTTATTTGAGTATTCTCTGACTCTTTTGGTTTCCAGAAGGCTGGTACACTTTCCAGTACCCAACCCCTTCTTTTGAAACACAGTATTCATCTTAAGTTTTTAACTGACTCTTAAGGTTTCTAAAGGCAATTTCTAACCAGACCAGACCAGGGATCTCTGCACTCTTCAGAGCTAATTCCCTGTTTGACTGGGCAGGGGAAATCTCTCTCTAGAAGATCTATCCCCTTTCCTATCCTAAATGAGAGACTTTGCCTACTTCCCAAACTTCCTTGTCAACTTTCCCCCAGTTCTCCTGTCTGTGTTAAACTGCTCTCAGTGAGGGCTGAATTCTGAAACTGTCAGTACTCAAGTCTTCTCAGCTAGAGCTGAAATCAGACTGAATTCTGAGCATCTAATTCAGAAATATTTCTCTGTTCAGCTGATGCTAACCAATCAGATCTCTTGGAACAGTCACTCAAGCCTCTCTGACTCTATGAAGAATTAAATCTTCATGATACTTTACCTGTTAGTACTACACTTCTAAGCTTTTAAAAGTACAGTCCGTCACAGTTTCACAATGGCTTTATGTAGGTTTTGAACAGCAGTGATGCTTTTAATTTGTGTTGAACTTATTTCCATGGGTCTGAGAAGCAGCATCTCTAAACAGATAGACAAGAGTGAAACCACTGGAGAGCCAAATATAGCCACTTGTTCAAGCCATTTCAAAAGAATGGCATTGTTCACTAGATGGAAATTTACCGAGAGATCCAGAAATAACAACAGGGTAGCATACCCTCATCCTTTAGATGTAGTTCAATAATCAGGGCTACTCTAGCTGATTTCATCTGTAACCAGACTGGAAACTCAGTTTAAAAAATGTTGAGGGAAAATGTGTTTATTCAGAAATACCTGGAATTGCTCAGCTATCACATGCTCAATTGACTTCTCCAGAAAGCAAGGATTGGAGATGCCAGTCTAAGGCTGTGATCACACTGGCGGCTTGGTGTGATATGGTGCCACCTCTAATTGAACCGGGTTAAAGTGTAGTGGGATATATCAGCCACACATCACACCCTGCTGTGGGTTACCCATGGAGACATCCTGTAGTAAAGCCTCCACATTATTGTGGCGCCTTAGCCACGGAGCAAACTGCAAAAAATAATAATCCTAACAGCATGTGTGTGTAGTGCACATGCGCACGCATGTGCACATAGGCAAGTCTTTTACGAAACCGCCTCCGTAGTGGCAGAATGGATCTGCAGGTTCACACTGCCAAATCCATTCTGCGCACGCTCCCCCATGTTCAGACATCCGGCCATGTGCAATGAATGCATGGGGAAACATAAACACCACTTGAGCGGTGGTGGCTTTTTAACCCAGCTCCAAGTCATCCTCTGACGGGGTGAGTATGCATGGGGAACACCTGACAGATGTGGCTGTGTGATCCTGCCCGTTTAATCCGTTTGTAAAATGTGCCTATATCGGGCCAAACTGCCAGTCTGAACACAACCTAAGACTGTTTAGGTCATCTTTATAATCATGTTTTCTCAGATTTCTCAGGTCTGGCTTAGGGGGTACTGCAGGGTTCCATTTTGTCTCTCATTGTGTTAACATCTACATGAAACCACTTGGATAGCTCATCTGGAGATTTGGATAACAATGGTGACATGTCGCTACCTTTCCTTTCAGTTGAGCTCTTAAACTGCTGTTTGGCAGCACCAAAGGTCTGAAGGTGGCCAATAGCCCAGTCTTAGTCCAGACAGGATGAAAGTGAACAAACATGCAGATTCTAGAAACCAGTTAATGACAAGCTTCCCTTGAAGCCAGCAAAAGAGGCTCCTTTCACTTTTTTGGTACTCCCTGAAACCTGCTGCTCTAGGCAATCACCTAGGTCTCCTTAGCGGTGGAACTGGCCCTGCCCTGTAGTTTCATTAAGCCCAGAGGCTGGCCCTGCCCTGTAGTTTTATTAAGCTCAGAGGCTCCGATGTGAAGGCCCAGGTAAAAATTACATTTTTGTGGGGAAGAGCTGTCCTCTCCCCCATTTTTTCAGTCCCCCCCCCAAAGCCTTTCCCCCCCATTTTTCTGAAAGACAAATTGGAAGTTTTGGGGAATACTGAAGTAAAATCCTATGAAATATTTTCTCTTATAGAATGAGTGAAATGCTTTTAAAGAAAAAGTGGGCATGCTATAGACAAATACCTCTCTTAAATCCAGGATGCATTTCTGCACCTACATGGATATATAATCTTCAATGAGGGGATCATGCAAGGCTCTCATTGCTTTACAACTGTTGCATACCTTCTGTTGTCCTTTTGACCTGACTTATGGTTGACCTTTTCACCTTTCTCTCAAACCACAGTGGCATATATACCCACATAAAAACATAAGAGAAGCCAATGTTGGATCGGGCCACTCTGTCACACAGTGGCCAAAAATACCAGGTGCCATCAGGCGGTCCAGCAGTGGGGCCAGGACACTAGAAGCCCTCCCACTGTTCCCCCCTCCCTACAATCACTTGTCCCGGAGTCCCTGTCTATACCTTGTGGCTAATAGCCACTGATGGACCTCTGCTCCATAAGCGTATCTAATTCCCTTTTGAAGCCGTCCATGCTTATAGCCACCACCACATCCTGTGGCAGTGAATTCCATGTGTTAATCACTCTTTGGGTGAAGAAGTACTTCCTTTTATCCGTTCTAACCTGATCGCTCAGCAATTTCATGGAGTGCCCACAAGTTCTTGTATTGTGAGAAAGGGAGAAAAGTACCTCTTTCTCTACCTGCTGTATCCCATGCATGATCTTAAAAAACTAGATCATGTCATCCCTCAGCTGTTGTTTCTCCAAGCTAAAGAGCCCCATGCACTTTAACCATTCTTCATAGGGAAAGTGTTCCAACCTTTTTATCATTCTAGTTGCCCTTTTTTGCACTTTTTCCAAAACTATAATATCCTTTTTAAGGTGTGGTGACCAGAACTGTACACAGTATTCCAAATGAGGTCGCACCATTGATTTATACAGGGGCATTATGATATTGGCTGATCTGTTTTCAATACCCTTCCTAATAATCCCCAGCATAGCATTGGCCTTTTTTATTGCAGTCACACACTGTCTCGACATTTTCAGTGAGTTATCCACTACAACTCCAAGATCTCTCTCTTGCTCAGTCTCTGCCAGTTCAGACCCCATCAACGTGTATTTATATTTAGGATTTTTGGCTCCAATGTGCATCACCTTGCACTTGGCCACATTGAACCCCATTTGCCATGTTGACGCCCACTCGCCCATCCTTGACAGATCCCCTTGGAGTGCCTCACAATCCTCACTGGTTTTCACCACCCCGAACAACTTTGTATCATCCGCAAATTTAGCCACTTCACTGCTTACTCCCAACTCCAAATCATTAATGAACAAGATAAAAAGCAGTGGACCAAGTACTGATCCCTGCGGTACCCCACTGCTTACCACCCTCCACTGAGAAAATTGCCCACCTACACTCACTCTCTGTTTTCTATGAACTAGCCAGTTTTTGATCCATAAAAGAACTTGTCCTTCTACCCATTTATACTCACTCTCTGTTTCCTATTAATTCCTCTCTGTTAATTCTCTGTTAGTTCCTAATTCCTCTCTGTTTCCTATTAATAAAATTACCTGATTACCCTAACTTGCTGGAGGGAGAGAAAAAAAGATCAGAAGGAGATGGGGCAAAAACTGCAACAAAGCCACAGAGGAAAATTCTGAAGCTTTCTTTGAGAACTTTTTTTAAAAATTTTTTATTACAAAGTGCAGGGAACGTGGAAAAACTAACTATAAAATACAGATAAACAGGGATCTAATATGATAAAGAATTACTTTCCCCAAAATTTCCCTTAGCTTTAACATTCTACATGATGAAGATTGAGATTAGCTAATTCAGATATATTCCAGTACAAACAATATTAGCCAATAAAGTGTATTCTGGTATATTAAACTAAAAATTATTAAACTTTCAGGGTTAATTCATTTTTAGTTCTTTTCCCCTTTAGGCTTATCTTTATCATAGTTCCATCTGACTTTAAGGAGTTTGGTGGCAGCTTCTCCCAAATCAGATTCAGAGTCTTCTCCTGAGGAGCTGCCCGCTGTAGAGCTATTTTCTGATCCAGTTGCGCTGTACTCTTCTTCTGCATTGTTGTCCTCCACTTTTCCTTCTTTCTCTGTTTTTTGATGCTGCTCCAAAAATGCTTTAGCTTTTATAACAGAGTCTATTTTTTCATTTTTCTCTTTGAAGTTGAAGATAAGACCCTCTGGCAAAATCCATCTGTAAGGAGTGGAATTTTTCTATAGAAATGTTGTCAATTTTTTATATTGTTGTCTCATCTTTCTTATCTCAAATGGAATGTCTTTTAAAATTCTTATTTCTTCACCTTTGATTTTTAGAGAAATCCTGTTAGTCTCTTTCAGTATAGTATCTCTGATAGACCTTTAGGAGAATTTCACAAATATTTCATCAGGTAGCTTATTCTTCTTGATGTAGTCTGGATAAGTCTGGTAGACTACATCCATTTCGCTTTGTATAAGTTCTGCTTTAAGGTCTATTACCGGTGCTAAGGCATTGCTTAAAATCTCCTTGAGGTTTTCTCCTTTTTGTTCTGGGATACCTTGAAATCTCAGGATAAATGATGATTTTTCCATTTGTAGTTGTAACAGCTGTTGTTTATGAGAGGCTTTCTCTTTTTCCACTGCCTCCAATCTCTATTTCAATGCTTTTGTCTTAGCGTCGACTTTTCTCACTGTCTTTGCTGTATTCTCTGTTTTTATATTGACTTCTTTTAGCTGTTTTTGGAGAGTCTCAAAGTTATTATTAAGATGAGTCATCTGGTCCAGTAGAGGGTGCAGTGCAGTGGTTAATATGCTTGGAAAGTCTATGGTTGCTTCCTGTTTGGAAGCTGATGCTGTTGAGCTGGCAGTTCTTGAAGGAGAAGGTCTTACTTTCGGCGCCATTTTTTCAGTCCGATGCAGGATTGTTTACATTAAGAGAAAGTCAAAAAAATCTCTGTAGGTTTTTTCAATCATGCTTTTTAACCAGTCAGCACTCTATTTGTGCTAAACAATGCTTTTCAATCAGCTTCCCCCCCTCCACCTCTTACAGTTGCTGCATTTTCCTCCTGGGATGAAACCAGCTCAATTCCCTCTGCTTTTGAATTTAAGGGGTTGGGGGAAGCTGTCTGCTTAGATTTTTGTCTGAATTAAAAGCATATGGACTCAGTCTTCATCGGCTGCTTGCTTCAGTAAGGTAGGGAGACCTTTAAAGTGCTTGATCTCCTGTTCACATGTCCCGGTGTGCATTTCTGTCGCCATTGATGGTCTCACAGTGGTGGGACCTTTTGGGGCAAAGAGGAGCCTCAATCCCTCAGCTGTGGCCTCGGGAGTGACACCACTCACACCCCAGGCTACGTGCCCCCTGCAAGGGACCTGGGGGGACCAGAATAATCCAGTACCCCTCCCAACTGCTACGGTCATGGGTCACATTCATCTGAGCTTGATGAAACACACCTGTCAGCAATTTGCCAAAACCGGAAGCTCGCTTTCTTTGAGAACTGAGGTATCTGTAACCAGATAGCAAAAATTAAAGACCATGTGCTAAAATAGTATATGGTGCATCAGCTTGAATTTTTCTCTCAAGTTTCGAGTATATTTGCAATTTCGCTTGTATAAAACTAAAGTATTTATAGCTTTTAAATTCCTTAAAAACGTCAAATATTGCAATTGTATATGCTAAGTAGGTTACACTGCCTTGAGTTCAGTGTTTTAAATAAATGGGGGGAAAATAACATTTTAAAACTGGACTCTGTAAGTCTAGCCCCAACAGCTGGAGAAAAAACCCTCTTTTATAGCACTTATAAATACATTGCTTCCATGCATATATTGCATTTGGCTGGGTTGAAGCAATGAAGCTGATAATCTGATTTATCCATCAAGGGTCAGGTATTCAGCCAGTGATAAGCATTAACTGTGCTTGAATGTGCTGGGAAACTGCTTTTACCAACTTGACATCAAATAGATGATCATTTTGTTCTGTGCCATCTGTAAAATGCACTGAATTTGCTGGTTGCTGTGACCCTTAGAATGGCTACTGAATAGAATATATAACATGCACATCTCGAAAGAATATCTACAGATGAAAGCTGATAAGAGCACTAAATATGATATATGTAAGGTTGCCTAGTATTGCTAAGTAGATATATGATAAAAGTATGTTACTACAATTGCTAAATAATTTCAGGGTCATTTTGAATATGTTTTAATGGCAATTAAGAATACAGACTATAGTGAGGCTTACATATAAGTATCTGATCTATGCAAATAGATCAAATAACGAGAAATCAATATTAACATTTCAGAGACATGGTACTAATCTAAGTAGATTAGTCTGTATGTTTTTTACAACAGCTTTGGTAAAGTAAGGATAATCTCTATTTCAGTAACAGAAAAGGTGAAACCTGAACAACAAGAAAAAATTGAAAAGAAGCTTCCTCCAAAAGGTATTTTCCTTTTATTAATTTCACTTTTTCAATCATTCATTTTGAATAGGTAACTTTCTGTGTCCCCCCCCTCCCAACCCAATGGTTGGTCATTTCAATCTGATCCCTCTTGATGAGATGTGTCCTCCAGTTCTTATATAGCAGGAATAACTATAATAATATATAACCATAAGGAAGGCCATTCAACTAAGGACCAAAGTTTTGTTTCAGTATGCAGTGAAATATGAACTATTTCAGAATTCTTTGTCAAGGTCAGAAGAACATGAGGCCTAATCACTTGGGAGAGCTAATGACAAAATTTGCCAGTGAGCTCCAAAGAATAAAATTAATCATCACAGATGATATTTTAGGGGGGGGGGTTTGCTATAAAGATATCCTAGTCTGATTTCCTCAGATGCTGTGAGATATTGATGATTCTTTTAACCTTCTAGATATGCTGAAAGTAATTTATTCGCAATTGTACACTTTAAAATATGAATAACATTTTTGCAACACAATAGCACAATTGTAATATCGCTTTGATTTTGAGCAGCATCATTAGCCCTATCATTATTGATGAGCGGTGGAAGAAGGTAGAAGTGGTTAGTCTCTAAGTGTTGATGAATATAGAATGAGAATTGTTGCATGCAGACAGAAGGAAGTCTGCAGTGTAGGTGACATTCAATAAAACTGTACATGTCCACTGTGTTTTGAGAACTGAGGCAACTTCTTGATTCCCTACCCTGGGTGGAAGGCAGATACCCACTCTGCTTACAAATCATACAAATGCTAATGCTGATGATAGCAGGTAACATGCTGACCTTCTAGTTCTATCTCCATGCATCAGCTCCCTAGAACGTGCAACAAGGACTGGCTGAACAATGTGTATTATACCAAGGAAGGGGTACAGGACAGATAACACCATATCTCCAAGCATGTGGATCAAGTAAGAATTCAAAGCATCAAGGAAAAGCAACTTGTATCTCCTACATCTGGACAATCAGACCTGGTGATAATGAAATTGCAGTCCTAGGGGCAGGGGAGGGAGCGAGTGCCAAAAGGGGAACAAACAAAACACGCAACATGACTGGAGAAAAAACAGGCCACGCCTTTATTGAACATAACCACAGGAGCATTGGCACAGCATAAGGCATGGACCCAGCAATGGATGACCCACCTGTCAGCCTATGGCACCAACCATTCCCAAGCCCACCAGCTGGGTGAACAGTGTGGCATGGCAAGTTCTTGAGTCCCACATGGACACAAGCCACCCTCACCATCTGAGGGTGAGAGCTGGCCAACAGCCCCCAAGTCGGGCATATTCCTGAATGGCCCCGCCCACAAGACCCATTATGGGGGTCCCCAGACAGAGGGAGGCACCCAGGCTCAGCCTCCCTCAAAATTGGATTTGGCCTGATGTCCTACCACTGCTGTGACAAAGCCTGCAAGCAACAGACCCATTTTTAAGACAGAACTATGAAGCACAAGGACCAAGGGGAGGTGGGCAGGGAAGCTGGAGGCAACTGATGACAGGCCCTGGCAGCAGAGTCAGCTACTGTAATGTATTGAAATGATTACATCGGCAGCAGAGTCAGCTACATAAGGGGAGGGACAGACTAATGAAGCCCCCATCTTTTGCCCCTCCCCAGCCAGCCCAGGCAACTGATTAGCTGGCCTGGGCTGCAGCTGGGGCCATCCTGAGAGGCTCCCTGCTATCTCTGTGAAGCCGAGGAAAGGAAGGGGGAATCCCTTCCCTTTCGCTCATTCCCTGGCCCCGTGGCTGCAAAAGCAGATGCGCATGTTTCTAGTTCTAGTAAACCATGAAAAAATGATGATACTATGTCAGGCAGGACAAAGCTAGAGGATTCCATTAAATATTACTGGAATATACTGAAAAACAAATGAGTGAAATACATTTCTTCTTTTTCTGGTTCCATTGTAGAGTATAAAAAGGAAATGTGCATATTTCTCCTGCAAGGAAATGCATATGTTCCCAGCTCAGGGGCATGTCATGCATCTTTTCTCCAGAGAGATATATGAGTTCCCATTTTGTGCTTTGTCCTAGAAGTACAACTCATGCTTCCTTTTTGGTATTGGTTAAATGTTATCTTAAGGCAGGTTAGAAATAATAAAAATATCTTTCAGAGTAGTGAAATTATATTCCGACAAAACTTCCTTTTCTCTTAGCACTCCTCTGTGATTCTAGTTTTCTTCCTTGAAGGAAAACCATTAAAGATTTAAATAATTATCTAAGATGGGCACAGTATTCCAGACAAGGGCTAGGTTCCAAACCCCCCCCCCAAACCTGCAAAACAATTTCAGTATGATTAAGGGGGCTTTACATTTGTTTGTTTTTCAAGCAGCAGGTCCTCTCAATTTATTTTGAAACTGAGGAAGAGTATCAAAAGGAGTTTCGGATATGACATTAGAGTCAGGGTTGAAAGGAAAACAGGAAAAATATTCCACCTGCCTACTACATGCATGAGCATTACTGTAGCACAGCCAAAGGAAAGCCTCCAAATATATGGAGAAAACTCAAAAACACAATACTTCATCACTCTGGAGAACTATCCTCCCAATGAATGAATTCATTTCCTACCTTTTCAGTTGTATCACATAACTGACTCAAAAGATCAGTTCAAACTCATGGCAATTCATGTATAAGAAACTTGGCTTCTGTTCCTTTCCTTAGACTGCAAGGGCATATGTTAAATGCTCAACTTTTTGTTAATATACATAGTCCTTTATGTACAGAACTGGATAAATAGTAACTTGATTAAGCATAAGTGAATTAAACATATTGTGAGAACTTTAAACTCATGCCTCACTTTCTGGAAATTAAATTTGTAATTTAACTGGGGTTGAGGTGGTAAGGCAGATGCTTATTTTTCTTCCATAAAAACTGCACTGAAGGTTTTATTGTTCCACAGTTTTGATAATTTGTGTTTTAATTATTTTATGTTTTTAGGTTAACATTTTATAATTTGGTAGGCTTTCATGGAGCCTTTGTAGGCACAAATGAAAATTGCATAGCATAAACAAGTCATTATCTTGTTTTCATACAGACAAGAAGAGCGTGGAAGTCGAAGAGAAAGAGAAAAAGGATTTGAAAGAAAGGAAGCCAGAACCCAAGGCTTCTGAAAGAGTGAAACATAAGGAAGCTAAAGTAGAGAAAATGACAGCACCACCAAAAGCCAAAGCAAAGGAGGAGACAGCACTGATGCTTCAAGAAAAGTCAGAAAAGAAAGGTAACCAATACCAGGAGACAGCATCAGAGGATCTTTGAAGTGCAGGGGGAAAGAAACCCAGGCAATGAAGCTAATCTTGATTCAGACAGAAAACAAATATTCAGCCCTACCTCTGGGCATGAAAATAATGGTTGAATTAAACAGTATCACATTTCAGGCTATTAAATGAAGATGTGGCACAAATGAAAAGCCTGTTGTTTTTGTCTAATGGACAGTGGTTCATTTTGCAAGCCAGTGGATTAATTTTGCAGTGCTTCTTTAAGGAACAGGTTTGGTGATTGAGGACTTCCCATTACAAGAGTGAAAGGGTAAAAAGATGAAAGTTAGCAGCATATATCGATTTGTCTATATAACGTCTCACATTTCTAAGTCTGTCAGTCTGAGGTTTTGCTTGCATTTCCTGAACTGATTTGCCAGTATGGGAAGCAGAGATACCATCAGAAAATGGAGAGGGAAGAAACAACAGCAGGTGGTGAGATGGGAATTAGTAACATTTCAGCTGAAAAAATGAGTCCCCTTCCTCCAAATGTCTTTCCATCCCTGTGAACTACAGTGGGGGAAGACAGCATGGCTCTTTGAATGCTTTGTGACATCAACAGTCAATAAGCCAATCCCCTCTTCTGCTCCATCTGCTCTTGTATGCGCTGAATAACTTCCCTCTGCCTGACACAGTTTTGAGAATTTCACACTAACCCCTCAGTCAGGGTTGCCTGTTTCATTTGAGGCAGGTTTCTTTAGTGAGAATCTTTTATCTGTGCAGCTAGGCATTTTGGTCCTGCTGTGAGTTACAAGTGGTTACAATTTCAGTGTCATGATGGACTGAAGAATAATTGCTCAAACCCAGAAATGAAGGGCCCTATAATCCCTTTGCCAGAAAATGTATCATTGTGGTTATGTGAGAAAACACAACAGGGAACCTTGTGACTAAAACCAGCACACTGCACATCAAAATTACTTTAATTCTTGCTTCTTCTTGCCTTAAAGACTACATAAATTATCAAGAAGTGTTAGGGACTGGTAGTTGTGGGACAACCCCCCCCCCTTCAGCTCCAAGTTACAGCATAAGCATTTATTTCAATAAGATGCATTAGCTTAAAACGAATCTATAGTCATGGAGTGTTAGGAAATAATTGCAGTGTGGTATATTTATTTTTAAAAAAACTTTTCTACCTAGTCATTTTATTTATATGTGTTGTAAAGATTCATTGAGTGCAGAGGACATGTCAAAACTCTTACTGCCTCATGATACATTTTTTCTTCAGAACTGTAGCATAATTTTATATTATAAATTGCTATATTCCAAGGTTTAGTATCTTGATTTGGGGTCATGATTCTTCCTTGCAAGGGTACAGAGCTTGAATACAGAGGGATTCACAGATTTCCAAAGAATTCAGTTTCCACCTTCCTGCCCTTAGTGTGAGCTCTGAGCTTGGGTAACTTGCTTGGGCGATAGAGGGGGCAGAATGAAGAAATGACAAGCTGTTCCTGTAGCGGGCACACACTGAGGTGTAGGAGTGTAGAAACCAGGGCTATTTTTGTGCAGGAACGCACAGGAATGGAGTTCCGTCTGGCTCCCAAGTTGGCCACGCCCAGCAGGAACTCATTAGCATAATAGGCCACACCCAACAACCAAAACTCATTAGGATTGGCTACATTAGGGGTGTGTGGCCTAACATGCAAAGGAGTTCTTGCTACATAAAAAGGCCCTGGGTTTTGACAACAAACAAGGTAAACAGAATAACAAGCAAAAGGTGGGTGTGGCTGGATGACCACACTTCTGGTAACATGTGGGTGTGGCCTAATGTGCTAATGAGCTGTGCTGTCAGGGATGTGGCCCAATATGCTAATGAGTTCCTGCTGTTGGGTGTGGCCTATTATGCTAATGAGTTCCTGCTGGGCTTTTTCTACAAAAAGAGCCCTGGTAGAAACAATGATCTTTCAGGGGTCTAAGACAGCAGATGGCCTCATTGGGAACAACATACCATGCTCACTCTCAGGATTCATTTTCAGATTTAATCTAGACTTTTAAAAAAAAATTGAACAAGGAAAATTCAATGAATTCAAATCATTGCTGGCATTAATAGTTTTTCTACATCTGTTTTACTGTCAATAGATTTTATGCAGGCCATTTTAATCTTGGAATGTATATTTGGGAAATCAGTGGGAATTTTTTCAGTAACTTCAGTAGCACTTAGATTGTGTCCTTAAATTTTAGAAATAGACTAGTTGCTAGTAGATATGCTGGCTGGAAAACATCTCCTGGTGAACGTGCCATGAAATGAATAGGAGCTTTTACATAGTACCAGTGGAATATTTATTTCTGGAAACTAGGTACAATAAGGCTGAGTTCAGACTGGCAGTTTGGCCCAATATAGGCACATTTCACAAATGGATTAAAGGGGCCGGTTCACACAGCCACAGCTGTGAGGCGTTCCCCAGCCATACTCAACCCGTCCTATCATGATTCCCTACTGAGTTTAAAAAGTACCAGGAGAAAGTGGTAGCAAACCCTGGAGAGCGTGTTGATCCCACTTCCTGGAAGTGTGCACGCTAAAAGCCGTAAACAAGCTGTATTGCTGCGGTGCTGCGCCTATGCGCATGTCGCCGGAATGAAAAAAGCTGCTTACAGCCACGCCTCCACCAGGGGCGGGCCAACAGTGTGAACGCTCCCTTGTGCCTCCCCCCGGTATGCTCCCACATCAGTAGGTGCAGTGCAACCAGGAATCCCTGACACGACTTGGTCCGGGTATTTTTGCCCCGCCTCCCTCGCGCTTCATACTGCCAGTCCATCCTTAGCCTAAATTGAGTGGTTATGTTGCACAACCTTCATTCATTTCAACGCAGCTTGAAAAGGCATCCAAATGCATGTCCCATATTAATTTAAAGAGATTGTGTAATATTAGTCCTTACTACAAAACGTTTTAGAAAATTTTATAGATATGGGAAACATCTCTGAAACGGTGTGTTTTTAATCATGAAATGAACAATCCTAAACATGAATGTATAATGCAAACTGATGCTTCAGTGGATAACAAAGTTTGAGTCCCATGCCAATTTTAATACCAACAAAATTTTAATCAAGGTGCAAGCACATTTCTTCAGATACAGACTTGAGTAAACTTTTGTTGTTCTTAAAGGTGCCACTGGACTCAAACTTTGTTCTGTTGCTTCAGACCAACATGGCAACTCACCTGAGGCCCCAGTCACGCTTAAGGGTTTGGGCCGGAAGAGGGACGGATCAGGGCCGCAGCAAACGGGCGCGATCCCACCGCAACATCTGGGAAGCGTTGTGCACCCATCCCCGATCCGGCCCTTCAGGCCGAAAATGGCTGAACTTCTGGCTGAACTGCGCATGCGCACACATATGCAGTCGGCTGTCTTGGTCTCCACTCGGTGGCTTCCTCCCCGGCATCTGATTGTGCCGGGGAGCAACAGCGCGGCGGCTCAGGGGATCAATGTGATCCTGCCGCCGCGTGTTTCTTTTGGTGTGGCTCTGAATACCCGCACTTTGCCCGTGTTTTTTTCTGCCGTGTGGTCAGGACCTGAGTCTAGCTTCTGTGGATAGTTTGCTCTAACAGAAAACTGCTGATGTAAAATAATCCTTACAAATCAAGAATGTCATGCTAGTCTGTCAGATTATATTTCTGATGCAGATATTGTCATTCTGCTGGTGTGGACATGTATTTCAGGCTGACATTGTAACAAATTCTATTTTACTTTTTGTCATTAACAATGTATAGGCAGCTAGATGCAAATACATAGTGGTCACAGGAAAAAAATCAGATGCCTTATTTGCATACTCTTGAGAAGGTGGTTGGATATGCAACATCTCTTACAGGATGTGAGAATTGTGCTGAAACAGTAGTGTTGAAACAGAAAAACTTTCTCAAAGCTTTACCAGGAACCAGAAAAGGCCCTTCACTGTAGATATGAAATTGGTATTTGAGTTTGATCCTCTCTTCTTTACAGTGAAGGGACTTATCAGGAATTCAGGGATGAGGGGAAACTTGTCAGTTTCACTGCCGCTGTTTGCAGTCTGTGAGCAGGGAAGAAATAATGTTAATACCTGTATGGCCATCAGTGGTATTTGCTTATGTCAAATGGTAACATGCAAAATGGTAACATGTGCTGTTAGGTACATTTGTTTATACAACAGCTCTTTTGGCATCTGGGAAAATACTGCCTGCATATAAGATTTCTGGAAATGCAAGGGTATCTGAGACACTCAACAGGCTTTCTGTGAATAAACATGAACATAGGTCAGAAACATGTAAAACAGAGTCAAAATGAAGATGCTTATTTTAAACACTCTCATTTCCCAGAAGACATTCTTTTCAACTGAATTGGGACAGAAGAAATAGTTCTTGATACAATATACCCATGGAACTATTATTGCTCAGGAAGATGAGCTTGTCCTAAATTCTTCAATGAAAGCCCAGGATTCTCTATCTCTTGAGTGCAGCAGCATGGTTATTTAGCAGCAGCTGCAGATAAATTAAAAACAGAGGTTTTATTGAATTAAATATGAAAATGAATTAGAGAGTCAGTAACATATCACTTCTGTTATGTGAATTTATCAAGCAGTTAATTTTGTGCTGCCTCTAAATTTTTAATTTCCAGTGGTCTGCATAACTTTATTTAGAATGTGCATAATTAGATCACAAATTCTGCCCAAAGGAAAACCGCTAGCTCTAGGAGTAAATAAAACCATATAAAACTGTGATGTAATGGCCAGTGGCAAATCCTGCTGACTGTCAAGTTTAGTCATTGTTGCTTCCAAAACTGTCCATCTATCACTACTAGATAAATTAATTGTTCGGCTCCAGAAATTCAAAGGTAGCATATGAAACTTTAGCTACCACACTGATGTGAGGGAAAAAATTCATCTGGAGACCCCAAGCAGAGGCAGTTGTTGGCTGACTTTCTGAATCATCAGTCAAGTTCTTTGCCATTTGATCTCAGGGTTTAAGAGTTCCTTTGAACATTTCCATTTCACTTTGGAAGATGAACTTTGTTGCATTTTATAAAATAGAAATAGCCATGTAAATGTCTGACCTTAGTCCCAGTAAATATGTTCTGAACTGAAAGCAATGTTTTCAAATATGGATCAAGTCAATAACCACATTTAACCCACAATAATGTGGCATTTAACACACATTCAGAAATTCAGAAGTATGCATTTGAGCATATAAAACTGTAACATCGAGTCTTCAGAATGTCACGGTCCGATTCATAATCTGAGCTGATGCCAGCACAAGCATTTGCTTGGCCTCCTCCATTGGCCTTATATATCCATGCATGGCTATTCCACAAAAGTCTTGAGTGGTTACTGTTAGCACTTCCAGAAGAAGTGAGAGTTTTAAAGCCATGAGTATGCAGAAGAAGATAAATGCCCTAGCAGAAAGGTTCCAAAATGTTATAGACCCTGGCTGTTCTTTGCTCTGAAGCCTATCCTAACAGTTATTTGTAATGAGACATCTCTGGCCACTGGGGATTCCTTACGTCATTCAGTAAATTGTTATTCAGTAAATTACTATGTCCTTAAAAACAACATGAAATTAACCTGTTTTGTTATTGATTGCTTTAAGCAATATATGACATGCTGTTACTCAAGTGTAAAAAGATCTCTAACTGTGTCTTATTACTCTTCTTTCCTTTCTGTTCTGCTAGATCAATATGCATTCTGTCGCTATATGATTGACATGTTTTCACACGGGGATTTTTATACAGGTATTCGAACTGAACGCTATCATTGAACTTTTGGTTTCTCTGAGAGCTTCTGCTTTGTTATGCTCTTGGAATGTGTGTGCTCTTTTCATTTGTTAAAACTTGAAGAGTGTGCAAACAGATTTTAAATAAAGCATATCAACTAATGGCTGTACCATTAAAGCTTCTAATACTCTTTTCTGTAAATGCATGCCTGAAATATAACAGAATATAAAGATGGTAATACAAAAAAATCAGCAGAAACCAACAGAAAGAATAGAACAATCTTTATAACAATTAGTTGCTATTGGAGTTACACATATGCCCAATCCCAAGGATTTGCATGTGTTTATGTCATAGAGAAGATGAAATATGTACTGAAAAAAAGAGGTCCTTTGCCATTACCATCTTTAAAAATGTATGGAAATAAAAAAGGCCATTAGATTTAAATGCATTCACTTTAGTTATTAAGCTAGTAAAAGTTGCATACAAGCACATCTTTGCACAGTTCAGATCAAGCCCTTTATTATGTACCTCTGTTGGTATAATATATTAGAAGCTGCAGTGAGGAACAGGAATAAATTATTCGAAATTTCCCCAAATCTCCTCCTCCAGAATACAGTGTGCTCTTAGGGGCTTAATATGTCCAGTTTTCCTCTCCTTGTTTTAACAGACTTCCTCTCAAAATTCTATGAGCTTCTCATCAGACCATTGTGAAGAGGCCTGTTTTTAACTTGCTAATTAATATTTCTGCATACCTATGGATAGGGTTGCCAGGACCCCTCGTCGCTCCAGCAGAGGGATTTTGGGGCATTCTGGGGTTGGGCGGGGATGCCCCCAAGCCCCGCCCCCAAGAGCGACCACCCACTCGGCCACCTCTCCCTCCCCTCCTGCTCAATTTAAAGAACTTCAGCTATCAGCGGGGACCATGTGGCCCGCCCAACATCTGGAGAGCCGTTTAAATCTAGCAGGAGGGAGGGGGAGGGGCAGTCATGGGCCACATGTTCGGCTCACAAAAAGCCCCTTTAAAGGATCTTTTTGTGAGCGGGATGGAGGCTGTGGCACACAGGGTCTTTTTGCAAGCCAAGCATGTGGCCCACAACCGCCCCTCTCCTTCCCCTCTCCCTTCCCCTCTCCCTTCCTCCTGTTAGATTTAAAGGGCCCACCAGCTGATCAACAGGCTATGTAGTCCCCACCAATCAGCTGAAGCCCTTTAAACTGGGCGGGAGGGGAGAGAGAGGGTTGGTTGGGTGGGCGGGGGGTTGCTCTTGGGGGTGGGGCATGGGTGGCAGGGCTTCCCCTACAGGTCAGCTGGCCGGGTGCAGATTGAAGCCCCAGAAATGGGGAACCCCCACCGGGACCTGGGAGCTGGCAATCCTACCTATGGAACCCCTCAGATAGTCAGAATTGATAGCTGTCTCTATGTAGGATACACAGAGACATGAAGTTTGGTATTAGGAACATGAAGTTTGCTGTTAGAAAAAATGATGTACGTACAATTTGTGATCCTTTTTGGTTATGTTGTTGGCTTCGTCTGCTGGAGCTAACAGTACAGATTAAGCTTTAGGATGATTTCCCTCACATTGTAGTGGAAGTGAAATCCTTGGCTTTTAGAAACTTCCATCCATGTTGGCTTTCTCCACAATTATAGTATTTTCAACACACACACAAAGTATATGTCAATTAAGGAACTGTTTACTTGTGATGACATTTTTATCAACATGAATGGGGAGGAAACATGACATCTTGTTGCACATGTGAGAGATGAGAGAATTTTTAGATAAAAGACCAATTTGTATGATTCTGATTATTTTAGTGTGACTACTTCTGAAATGTATGCGTTCGCCATGAGTTGGATCCCAAGGTGTTTTTCTTTCATCATAAAACTTATGATAGCAGAATGGCACTTCTATTGAAAGAGGAGGATTATTCAGCTATCAGCTGGAGTCTTCTCCCACATTTGATAGGATGCTTAACCCCCAGGAATAGAATTGAGAGGGATGTTCAGTGGACTACAGTGAAAAACAGGAGGTGGTGAGCTTTGTCCCAGTTGTGATACTTTGGCTCCAACCCCATATATTTTCTAGAAAGATGTAATCTATTATCAAGGACATTTTGTAAACTAACTTAGAGATGCATGACGCTTGATTACCTCTCAAAATGTATGATAGATCTGATGCTGTAAGGTCACCTCAATGATGGAAAGGAGATGGATGGAGCGTAATGGCAGGGCCTTAGTTAATTACTCTCAGCATTCTACAATTAAGGATACTTCTACCCATCAATCTCCAATTTTGACATATTTATTTCCCTCACTATGTTCCCCCCAGAATTAAACCCAAACAAAGGGTAACATATAAACTAAACTTGTTATTCCTGTTTGGTCCTTGAATCTGTTAAAAATCTTCATTATGCTGTATGCTAATTTACTGCTCACCCTCTACCTGTATGTATGGACTGGTAACTTCCAATTCATTGTATCTGAAGAAGCGTGCATGCACACGAAAGCTTATTCTGTTGGTCTTAAAGGTGCCACTGGACTCAAACTTCATTTTGCTGCTTCAGACCAACATGGCTACCCACCTGGATAAATGTGATGGCTAGCCTTAAAATATACATTTACTCATAATACCAGATTAGCATAGGTAATTTGCCACATTAATCTAATGGGATTTTAACTTTGTCTACTTTTTCTGCACTACGTAAAATCGTCAACTTCAGATGTCTGGCAGGTTTATAACCGCACTCTGTTTCTTCCAATTTGCAAACTTTTTCTTTCTAAGCATGTAGGAATAAATGTGTTCTGAATTCTTTAACTGGCCAAGAGAAAAAAAAAATATTGCTTTTATGTAATCACCGGCAATGGGTATTTCATATAAACCAGCCCTCATGTGATACAAACTGAAACAGTTGCAGTGCCTTCTAAGTTTCTTGATTAATTAATTTTCTATCATTTTCCCTTATAAGTTGTATGAAAATACAATTCAGTTATCTAACAAAACATACTAATATATTAACAGAATGTGTCAAATGTATATGAGATATATGCAGGGTGGGAGGACCAAATCCAGAAAGACTATTGTAAACTAATCCTAATCAGGAAAAAAACCAAAAACCTTTGGAATTACAAGACCAGGCTCCAATTGGTGGATGTGTGATTCTTCATATATTTTGGAGAAAGTCATATGCAAACAAAGTACTTTCAAAAGGAAAAATGTGTTCTAATAATTTCTTTGAATAGATCAAAAAGTCCTTTTATGATCTCTGTGCAATCTCACACAGAGACTGCTTGAGTGCTCACACAAACACATACACAAACGGACACATATGGAGGTTACCCAGAACTTTTCTAGAATTCTACAAAGAGGATAAGTGTTCAAACTTTAGTCTTCAGCAAATATAGGTCTAGCTAATAATTGAAAATGGAGTTTGTGTCTGCAACTCCTGAGTTGGTTTTTCCGGGAGGAGGAGGCAATCTAAAAGCAATTTGGTGATATGGATCAGGGCCATGGCATTGAGGGAAGAGGGTTAATTCTCTTCCCCATGCTTTCTTTGATCAAAATGATCTGCATACTGATTTTAGCTTACGTAGAGAAAAAAGTGCCCAGGCTAGCCTGATCTCATCAGATCTTGGAAACTAAGCAGGGTCGGCCATGGCTAGGATTTGGGAGACCTCCAAGGAACACCCAGGGTTGTGATGCGGAGGCAGGCAATGGCAAACCACCTCTGAATGTCTCTTACCTTAAAAACCCTATGAGGTCACCAGAAGTCAGCTGTGACTTGATAGCATTTTCCACCACAATCAGAGGGAAAAAAGCACACAGATCAAAAAAGACATGTTGGGTATTTCATTTACAGAGATTCTACAGGCTGAATGCAAGTCCTCTTTACTCATCTGCACACTGTACCTCTTCTTCATATCTTAAAACTAAGTTTCAACTTCAAGAGGTCTCAGCTTGACTCAGTACTGTACAGCAGGATAGGGAAAGTATTTTGTCAGAGATGCAAAATCACTTCTAAACATTTGTTTGTTTTTTAATTATATTTATTGGGTTTTTATGCAAATATTACAAGTAATTTTTCTCAACATATCACAGTGCATAGACAGTTTGGTTATAATTAAATACCATATAATTCCCCTCTAATCTACTACTAACCAACTAAAATTTCACATTGCGTAACTCTAATTTCTCTCGGATTGATCTACAAAAATAATTAAACACTTCTACATACACTTTACTACCACTGAACAGTCTTCCCATCCTTGGAACAATATAGCTAATTGAAAAATCACAAGCCAGTTTTTAATTTAAATTACTCACATGTCAAATATTAATGTTCTTTCTAATTTTAGGAAAAGGTTTTTCTTTATATATTCAACTGGAGTAGTCAAATAACAACTCTCTACCAAATATTGCTTATCCATTTACAATACCATCCTTACTGCTTGCCACTCTAATCTCAAACATAGTTGTCACAACCAAATTAATTTACATGACAAAATAGCAGAAATACAAACCTTTAAACAATCTGAACCATAATACTACTTCTAATAATAAAAAGTTAATTAACAATAGATCTTAATTTCATTTAATTTATCTATGATAGGGAAACAGAAGCAAAATTAAAAATACAAAGTTTTGTTTTAACTGTTATTCTTACTGAGATTGTTTCTAGCGGGTAAGCTACTATAATACCACAACTAGCTTTTCTCTCTTGTTCAAACCTTTGCCCACTATCCACACAGTTAATGCAAATACATAAATAAATACATTTTAAAAATTATGAAAATCTTACTACCTAAACTAATAATGGCCCCGGTCACACGGGCAGGATATCGCGGTGGGGAGGCATAGTTGTTTGCCCTGGAGCGAACTACCACGCAGCAGCCGGATCAAACATCCCACCCGACATCCCACCGACGTCCCGTGGTTGGGGGGAGGTGCCGATCATACCTCACTCCTGCAGCGCGGCAAAGAAACAGCACCGCGGTGGTTGTGTTGTTTTTTTAACCCAAGTGTTCG